AATGACACTGACCATCACTTTTAGTACTAGAAAGCCATTTAGGCTTCCTTTCATTGTTAAGTGTATTATAACTTTGCTCCACTTTGGATCGTGTTACCAAATTTTATGATTTCCTTATCTATTTTACATATTAATCTTCACTAGTTACATACATAGCAGATATCATTTTTTGTACACAACCTATTAGTCTTACCTGTAAACAGATAATGTTCAATCTTGTTGTAGTCAAGCCCGTGATTTTTTGCATTTCATGGTGTGCGCTTATTCTGTGTAGCTTATTTAGGGCATTTTCCTTATCTCCAATTCATAAAGGTGTCTACTACATTTTTACTGTTAACTCTATAGTCTTACCTATCACATGTCTTTAAGATACCTGGAGTTCTTATAGAGTCTGAGAGAAAAGTTATTTTTTATTCTCCATATAGTAAAATAATTTTTGTACTTCTATTTACTGAATAATCTATTATCTATCCACTGACTTGTAAATCCATCTCTGTTATATTTCAAGTTCCTATATTGTCATGGGTATATCTCTGACCTCAGTATTTTGTTATCACTATTGCACTATATAAATGCAATATTTAAATTTTTCATATCTGATAAAGCAAGTGACTTTCCATTCCTGCAACATTTACTCTTAATTTAAAAATTATCATAGCTATTTGGAATTATTAGCCATTCATATAAACTGTTTTTCAGGTTCCTTCACATATTGAGCAAAGACTTTGGTTAGAATTACATTTGTAGAAATCAAATTTTGACTTATTTACAAAATCTGTTGTTTCATTAATGAAAGTGGGATTTATTCAGATCATTCTATTCCTTTAATAGATTTTTAAATACTCTCTTGCTTATTTTTCCCTTTTAATTTCTGGAAAACTTATAGGTATTTTTTATTGCTGTTATGAATACTGTCTTAACCTTCCTTACGTGATTTGCTTGATTTTTGCTGGAATGCTAATAGTCTTTTTAAGATGATCATACCTCCTTGTTTAAGTTCTAGTATTCTGTCTGGTAAATCTGGTGAATTGTCTTTTCAGATGATAATACCAGTTGGAAATAACAACAGCTTTGCATCTTGAATTCCAAAGTTTCATTGCTTTTGTTTGCCTTACTGTATAGCTGGGAACCAATAGGATGTTGAATAGCAGCAGTGTAAACAACCATGTCTTGTTTCCATCTTCAATGAACATACTTCTGATTTTTTTAAGTATATTATCTGCTGTAGGTTTTTTAAGATAAACTCTATCACTTTAAGAAAATTGTCATCTGTTACTGGTTGTGAGAGTGCCTTGATAAATGTATTACCATTGTATAGGACTTGGAGATCATGGCATCCGATCCCATCACTTCATGTGGAAACAGTGACAGATTATATTTTCTTGGGCTCCAGAATCACTGGGGATGTTGACTGCAGCCATGAAATTAAAAGACGCTTCCTTTTTGGAAGAAAAGCTATGACAAACCTGCTGCTGCTGCTGCTGCTAAGTCACTCCAGTCATGTCTGACTCTGTGTGACCCCATAGACAGCAGCTCACCAGGCTCCCCCGTCCCTGGGATTCTCCAGGCAAGAACACTGGAGTGGGTTACCATTTCCTTCTTCAATGCGTGACAAACCTAGACAGCGTATTAAAAAGCATAGACATCACTTTGCAAGCAAAGGTCCGTATAGTCAAAGCTATGGTTTTTACAGTAGTCATGTACAGATATGAGATTTGGGCCATAAAGAAGCCTGAGTGCCAAAGAATTGATGCTTTCGAACTGTGGTGCTGAATAAGACTCTTAGGAGTCTCTTGGACTGCAAGGAGATCAAACCTATCAATCCTAAAGGGAATTAACCCTGAATATTCATTGGAAGGACTGATGCTGAAGCTGAAGCTCCAATACTTTGGCTGTTTGAGAAGCGAAGAGCTGACTCACTGGAAAAGACCCTGATGATGGGAAAGACTGAGGGCAACAGAAGAAGGGGGAGATGGAGGCTGAGATGGTTGGACGGCATCACCAACTCAATGGACATGAGTTTGAGCAAGCTCCAGGAAATGGTGAAGGACAGGGAAGCCTAGCACACTGCAGTCCTTAGAGTCACAAAGAGTCGGACATGACTGAGTGACTGAACCACATAGGACTTGGAGCATATCCCTGCTTTCTAATTTAAATTGTAACAAATGTTTCTAATTTTTACTTCTGTGCTCTTGAGTCACATTGCTGAGTATTCTGTGAATATCAAGTATTTGGTCGGGAAAGAAACTCTTCATTTGCTTATCTATGGGAAAGTATGACTTGCATTTCTATGATTTACTATGCAGTGCTATTTCCCTGGATATGTACAGCAAACCCAGTTAAAAGTGCCTTTTTCCTTTCCACATAGAGACTATTGTTGCTAAGTCCTTAAAGTGAATGGATTCTTTTCTATAGATCATCCTAACTCTATCAATCAGATTTTTTTTAAATGAGAAATTAAAAGACCTATTATTCATGGGAAAAGAAAAAAGATGCATTTATAATAGATGGACGTACTATTTAAGCAGTGCTTATACTGTACCAAGCACCCCTTTGAACTTTTCACATATATTTGCTCTTTTAATTCTTATACCAACCTTTAAAAGATACCAATATTAGCATCATTTGAGAGCTGAGACATAGAGAACATAAGTGATTTGCATAAGGTTACACAGCTAAGAGTGTTGGAGTAAGATTCAAACACATGCAATTTCATTCAGCATCTGTACTTTTAATCACAGGCATATTACCTTTTGATTTTTGTTCCTGCTTTTTTAGTATAATATATTTTATCATGGAATAAATGTTGATAAAGATAAGATATTTTAGAGCAGTTATAATAATATATGATTTTAATAGAGTAGAAATTCTGAAAAATATGTATGCTGGAGGTTGAGTCCAAATTCAGCTTCACAGCTTCACTGTATTCTGTATGGTTCATACACTGTGTCTTATAACCTCCTATAATGCAGGAATTTTCCCTGCATGTGGTCTTTCTTATCCATGTATGACAATGCATATCATAACAGTATTGCATCGTATATAAGGGTTTTATGGGTGTGCATGTCAGATTCATTCAGTAAGGTGACATCAACACATTTTTGATGTAATACTTATTAGATGGAAGGCAGTAAATGTATTCCCAATATAGTTTTGGGATATCCCCAAAATATCCCCCAAATATTCTAGATGGTATACACTGAGTTCTGATGCTTGATTGTAAGGCAAGCACAGCATCGTTCATGACTATTCTGTCTTATAATGAGCATTTCAGAATCGTTGAAAATGTACTTTCTGCTCTGAAACTTTCAGCACCTTGTTTTTGGGATCAAGTCTTTCATCGCATACCTGATTCCAGATGTACCAAAGAACCTGTATGACCGAATACGACGGGAGAAGTACTTAGTCCAAGAAATGATGTACGAGGCTGAACTAGAGCACTTGCAACAGCAGCGGAGAAAAAGTGGTCACCCTGTTCACCATGAATGGCCTTAGTGGATGCCTGTTGCCCACTGGGGGCAATACCATTAGTAGACATGATGGCAAATTATAATTCTAGGTGGAATCAGAGGAAGGCATATGCGCCTAACCACATGTACAATATGATACTGGGAAATACATCACAGCCATCTCTGGATCTGAAATATCCAGTCGTCTAGGGAAGAAGAAAAATGACTCATTTCCTTAAAAAATGGTTAGATTGACATTGCAGGAAGCCAGGGTCTAATTCTCAGAACCAGCCTCAGGGAGTTGTGTGTTTGGAAACCTCCACCTTCCATCAACACAGTATACTAGGGACAGTGATGATGAGGTTTCTAATGACAGATTTCTATGTAAATGTACACAAGTCAGGCATGACTTAAAGTATCGTGTGGTCCTCATGCACACACTAATATGACTTTGGAACCTTAGGTTGAGTTGAGATACTTACCAAGAAATGACAAATCAGTTATTGCCTTTGCTGCCAGAACATATCCCTTCAACTTACTGTTCTATAGGAATTTCCTTTGTTTCTTGCTGAGATTTTTGGATCTGTGTCACAGGAAATTCATGTGTTTTTTTTTTTTTTCACTGACTATGCAGTTGAAGAGTTGCACAACTTCAGTAGTCAAACCAAAAATCTAAGACTCCAAAAAGAATACCATTTACTGAAATAATACTCTATTGCATTGGCTACATTCAAATCTGTTTTATCACTAGCAGATTAACTTTCACTGCCTTTTTTTCTCCTTTACTAAATGCCAATGGAGTCATATTGTTACAAAATATGGATGCTCATTCTCCTATCATTTAGAAGATGATGAATCCGTATTTTACTGTGGAAAGCTGTTATATAGTATACTTAATTTCCACCTCCCTGATTTATTACAGTTCTCACAGAATAACTTGAAATGCTGTAAATATATTGATTTTCCTTGTACCTTTGCACCTTGCAATACGGAACACAAGTTATTAATACAGTTCATGCACCTCTGAGACCAGTTACAAGGTATTGCATCATAGCTTGTTTATTCAGGAAAGCAGAAGCCAGATGCTTTGCAACATGTAAGCTTTTCCAACAACGTGCACTCTTGCTCGTGAGCTGATGAAAACAATGCATGAATATAAATTTATATTATTTGTAAAAGAACACAATTTTTTGAGTTTTACTTTCTTTTTATCACTGAAGGGAGTTTTCTGTTATTTCTTTGGTAGATTGATTTGGGTTATTTTTGAAAACTCACTAGAAACAAAGTCAAATTAATTGTGAAAGACATTATTTTTGCTTGTTGTGGAGTTGCTGTTTCTCTGAACTCTGTGAGCATGAATGTTCACAGACTGATGTCGGAGGAAGCATTCAAATAAAAAAAGTCTGGTGGAGGCATAAACTATGGGGGCAAGGTGGGAAGAAAGAGAAGAGTTGAATTAAGAAAATATGTAGTAGAAATCAAGACACTTTTTCTTGCAAAACAAAGCTAATCTCAATTTTCTTCTGGGAATGGGATGAGGCATGCATAATCATGGTTGTGGTGGTTCAGTTGCTAAGTCATGCCCATCTTTTTGAGACCTCATGGACTGTAGCCTGCCAGGCTCCTCTGTCCATGGGATTCTCCAGGCAAGAATATTGGAGGAGTTTGCCATTTCCTTCTCCATGGGATATTCCCGACCCAGGGATTGAACCCAAATCTCATCCATTGACAGGCAGGCTCTTTACCACTGAGCCACCAGAGAAGCCCATATGTAATCATGCATTCATACACATATGTGATTTTTTTGTGTGCCGTTTAAAGGTACAGTTATTTCCAAAATGTATAAAGACCAGATTAAACCCAATGGAAATAAAACTATTTTGTATGTATGCAAGGGTTTCTCTAGCAAGAAAAGTCATAGAGTTTCTCTTCACTATTTTAAAAATTTTAACAATGAAAGTGTTTTTTGTTTTGTTTTATTTTAGTTTTCCTTTCTTTCTCTCCAGAGATAAATAAATCACAGTGGTTGGTTGATATTTGTCAACAATACTTACTTCCCTACCTGCGCTCTGATTCTGAGCAAGAGGAAGAACTTCAGACTCTAAATGTCCCTCCCATTCCCTTGTCTCAAGGAATTCTTCCATTCAGATTCCAGAGAGGTTTTGTTTCTGCCACCTGCCTATTCACAGTAACTAACTGTACTAACTGCACAAAGAAACTTTAAATACTTCCATTTTGTAGCATCTGCATTTCCTTTCTTTGTTGGTTAAATGTATACACATGCCTGAGGATAAATACTCTCTATGCCTATTGAAGACATAAATGAACCTGACATTTATGTCCATTTACAATTAGGGACACAAGGCAAAGACATTTGCCTTATAGTAAAGAATACCAATAGCTATGCCCTTGAGAATTTGTCTCTTTCTGAGTTATTTTTATATAACCATAGAAAATCATATTGATTACCTAGTGGAAATAATATGAAAAGAGAAAGGTATTTTTAATACAAATTATGATACATTGATTTAGGAAATGCCTTCTCTGATATTTTTGAAATCGATGGAAAAATAGAGAAACAATGAAAAAAATTAACTGAAATTCTCCTTTTGTGAAACAATGCAGTAGAATCTAGTTATATCTTCATCACTGTTGACAGCAAAATATTGACAGCCCCACATGGTATATCAGTTTTAGACAACTCAGCTTTAGTTGAGAGAAATATTTTATATCATGGTTTTCATATGAATACAAATTATTTCTCAAAGATTTATATAACACACTATTCTCAGGAATTCTGTATTACATGAATGCTGCTTATATATTTTCTTATTCTAAATTATTGTCTTTTCAAGCAGATAACTAATATACACATATATGTGCATGCTCTCAGCCTTGACAAGTTGTGCCAGGCTGTAGCATTTTCATTGTACAGTGTGTGGAAAATCGCTCTAGGTTATAGCTGAAATTGTTTGCGGTTGTCTGAGTCCGTGCACGCACTTTGAGATAAAATGTGCCTGGGTGACTGCATGAGGAGATACAACTTTACAACTTCGGAATGCTGAATATTCTTCCAAAATGACCCTTAGCACAATCTGTTGTAGAATGCGATAAAAAGGAATCTTTTTCACTCAATAAATTTTCATGTGAGATGGTATTTTTTCTATAATATGCATGTTAATTTAATCCTGCTTGTTTTCTAAATTTGAAGCTGGGATTTGTTGAGTGTGTATGGGAAGAGGGGATTACATGTTCTTTAGTTCTCCAAGGCAATAGTTTCCTTTTCTTTGGGCCCTTCTCCACTAGAAAAGTTTTGACTCTTCGTCTTCCAATAAACTCACTGTTATCATCAAAGCATTTCCTATGATAGTGCAGACGGAGCACCACATTGATCCTAATAGTGCTTTGTGTTAGCAAAGATGGGAGAGGAAGCTTGATCTTACACTTGGACTGGCTCTATCAGTCACCATTAAAATCTCCACAGGAAAAAAAATAATAATAAAATCTTCATAGAACAGGAAGTTTAGCAGAGATTATAATTCATGCCAACGAAGGAGGACAAATTGAGCCTACTGTCAACAAGAAGCCACCAAATTGCCCATTTTTTCTCAATTTGATGGTGCAAGTTGAAAATCCAGGTTGTGAAAAGAATTGCTTAAATGATAAGGCTGAATTGATTTATCAGTTGGTAACAGGGAGACATAAGCCAAGATGTGTTTGTGTATATGCGTGTATATATGTGTGTGTGTATATGTATGTGTATATGCGTGTGTATATGTGTGTGTATATGCATGTGTATATGTGTGTGAGTGGGTGCATCCATACACAGGACTAGGAATTCATTTTATTCTGTAAAAACCAGTGAGCACTTACTGTATGTGAGATATGCCTAACTCAGTCCTGTTACGTTAATCTCATATTTTTACTTTCCCCCAAATCTCAGTATTATAACAAGCTCTGGAAACAGTTGTTAAGTTTTATCCAGAGCATCAGTGAACCTCTTATATCCTTCCTGTTATCCTCAGTAGCTCAAAAGAAAACATTTTAGGAATAGCTTAGAAAACCCAGCTCCTAATGGAAAGGTGGGCATTCCCGTATAGACATTTCTATTCAAAATGAAATGTGTCAACAAAGCATAGTCTGAAGATTGATTAGGCTTGAACTTGAATCACTAATCAGTATAGGTTCTCGCTAGCTAGGATTCATATACTTGTTGTGGTGTTAAGGTACCTTCAAGAGTGCTTGCCAGCTGTGTTCATCTCAGAAACAACACCCATGACCACATTTAATGGTTTTCTTTCTAGAGAACACAGATATTAGAGCCACTGCATCCTAGCCACATCCACAAGACATGTTTTCAGGAAAGTAAGATGAAAGCAGACAGATTGGGAGAAGAGACTCGTATCTGAGGCCAGATCCAATTTCTTAGACCATCACATTAAGGAAGAGACATCTATACCTCCTACCTTACTACTTTATGATGGTATCAATGTGTGCTCCATCACATTCTCCTTGGGCGGGAAGCAACTGTTCCATGTATAACTATCCCCAAAGTGGGAGCCTTGTACACCAGACAGGACAGTGAGCTAGGTGGGTTCAGCTTTACATCTTTCCCTAAGAAGGAAGGGGATGATACTTTGATACATATGGTGGCGTTGACTTATTCAGGATATTTGCTTGCTCTCAGTTCTCTCTCTGTGATAAAAGCAGTATCTTTGCTCTGTTTTTCAGAAAGCAAATTTCCTAAAGTTATTAGTTGAAAACAAAACCTAATGAGATCCATTTTGGTAATTCCCCACAAAAATGATTGTCATGTGGATAGCTAACCCCCTGTGGTATTTAGAGTGAGTGAGTGAGTGAAGTCGCTCAGTCATGTCCAACTCTTTGCGACCCCATCGACTGCAGCCAACCAGGATTCTCAGTCCATGGGATTTTCCAGGCAAGAATACTGAAATGGGTCGCCATTTCCTTCTCCCTGTGCTATTTAAGCTGCCAGCAAATCTTTATAATTATTTTGTCAATGCCCCTCAAATGCTGCCAGGTAAACACTTCAGACCAAATTTAATATCTTTTCTAATAAAAATATGAGCAGATTTTCTCGCTGATTTTGACATATTATACTTTTTTTGGGTGCTGTTCTGTAAGTGAGAAAAGGGAGAATTGAATGATCAGAAAACTTGGATAGCAAAGATAATCATGGAAGCCATGTTCTGAGAATGGCAGGCACGGGCATGATCAGACCTCCCGACCAAAGCAAAAATGGCTATTTTGCAGATCCTGATTCAGTATCTGCTGTCTGTACACCCTGCCTTCTTTCTGACTGAAAAACAATTTCAGTCTAGTTCATCTTTTAATATGAAGAAGAAATGGAGGGTTTATGGTCTTGTTTTCCTTTTTTTTTCCTTTTCTATTTTAAGACATGAAGCTAGATCTAGTAAGCTTAGATTTCAGTGACAACTCTAGTTAAAGAATAATCATGTCAGTTTTCAATGTTGAAGATGAACTTGCACTTAAGTGCAAAATTTTTTCTTCCTGGAATAGTGGTTGGCCTCTATAGTGTAATTTTCAAGTAGGAAAGAGCTATTAGCATCCTATAATTGGGGGAATCGGGGGAAGGCCAGAAGAGAAAGACTGGATTTCTCCAAAAATTTTTGTTCTCAATATCAGAATTACATTGCAGCCATATATTTAGCCTAATGATTATAAATATCAATTTTTTTCTTTTTACTTTCAACTTTTGCTCTGAAAATGCTAAAAATCTTAAAATATGAATCTTAACAATAGTGATTATTAATCTTTAACCATTTCAAACTCTCATAAGAAATTTTAAAGCCAGTTAAGGAATTCTTTGCTCTGTTGAGACAGACTGAATAAATTTTTTAGATGGTATCTTCTCAAAGATAGTATTACTGAAAGAAGGTCGACATTATCAAAGAAAGTGAACAATAAAGATTCATAAGCCTTTATAATGTAGATTCTGAATTGGTCAACAGCATGGTCTAATTGCTCAGTTCTCTACAAAATCTGCCTGACTATATTTTACTGCTACAAATAAGCAATTTGGGGATCGCTTACTTATTTTCTTACATGGCAGTTACATTGGCATGAAATGAATACACTACATGAATTTTTTTTTTCACTACATGAAATTTATTCTTAGCTTTTCAAATGTGTTGAAGCAGACTCTATAATTGGGAACTGTGTGTTGTGAATACCTGAGTATACACTTGCTTTAAGATTTTTAAAAAAGAGATGAATTGTTGTTTATAGAAATTCCTGAGGACAATGAACACCCAGGACTGATCTCTTTAGGATGAACTGGTTGGATCTCCTTGCAGTCCAAGGGACTCTCAAGAGTCTTCTTCAACACCACAGTTCAAACGCATCAATTCTTCGGCACTCAGCTTTCTTTGTAGTCCACCTCTCACATCCATACATGACCACTGGAAAAACCACAGCCTTGACTAGACGGACCTTTTTGGATGAAGTAATGTCTTTGCTTTTTAATATGCTGTCTAGGTTGGTCATAACTTTCCTTCCAAGGAGCAAGCGTCTTTTAATTTCATGGCTGCAATCACCATCTGCAGTGATTTTGGAGCCCCCAAAAATAAAGCCAGCCGCTGTTTCCACTGTTTCCCCATCTATTTGCCATGAAGTGATGGGACCAGATGCCATGATCTTAGTTTTCTGAATGTTGAGCGTTAAGCCAACTTTTTCACTCTTCTCTTTCTCTTTCCTCAAGAGACTCTTTAGTCCTTCTTCACTTTCTGCCATAAGGTGTCATCTGCATATTTGAGGTTATTGATATTTTCCTGGCAATCTTGATTCCAGCTTGTGCTTCATCCAGCTCCATGTTTCTCATGATGTAAATTAACTTATATCTGCATATAAGTTAAATAAGCAGGGTGACAATATAGAGCCTTGACATACTCCTTTTCCTATTAGAAACCAGTCTATTCCATGTCCAGTTCTAACTGTTGCTTCAATTAGAGAACTACATTTGCTATTAACTGTGC